TTTCTGCCCTGGGGGGCTCTGCATTTCAAAGCTCAGGTTTAGCAATGGTTGTAATTATCTTTTCCATGGAGTTTCTAAAAGCTGCAGGTGTGTCTTTCATACAGTAGGCTGTTAACACCTCAGTTAACATGAGAAAAAGGTAATTAATTTTTTGTCAAAAGTTGAATTCCTTCAAATCTGTGGATGGGGGGCATTTTACCCTTCACATTTAGACTTCCTCTAAAAGTCTCTGATTCAATTCAGCTAGTCTGAGTCAAGATAGAAGTGAAGTTTCAGGTTACAGTACTTGGTTTAAAACCCTAACCTATCCACCTCTCAAAATGCTTGGCAGTATTAGAAATCAAACACCATCACATGGTCTGGATGTACAGATGGGTGAGAAATTAAAAGCAGGGGTGCTTGAACACGTGAGTACTCTTCACTCAGTTTCATAAATCAGAATCAAGTTAACTGAAGCCTCTCTGAATCCAATTTATTCTGGCCCCCCCAGTTTTCTTTGTCTTTTGCTGCTTCCTATACTTCCTCCTTTTTCTAAGAGCTAAAGGAAGCTTTACTGCAATCAGGTAGCTAAGGCCGAAGATATTTTTTTTAATAGGACAGGATTTGGAAGACTTTCCTTTGGTGTAAATAACCTTTTGAACATTTTATCTGACCAAGCTATCAATAAGGTTATCATGACACAAGAACAGTTTTTTCCCCAATGCCATCACTCTGCTAAACAAAATAATTCCCTCAACACTGTCAAACTATTTACTAAGTCTGCACTACTATTAATCTTCTCATTGTTCCTATCACCCATCTCCTCCCACTTATGACTGTATGACTGTAACCTTGTTGCTTGTATCCTTATGATTTATATTGACTGTTTCCTAATATGATTTGATTGCTTATTTGTACCCAATGACTATCATTAAGTGTTGTACCTTATGATTCTTGACGAATTTATCTTTTCTTTTATGTACACTGAGAACGTATGCACCAAGACAAATTCCTTGTGTGTCCAATCGCACTTGGCCAATAAAGAATTCTATTCTATTCTATTCTATTCTATTCTATTCTATTCTATTCTATTCTATTCTATTCCATGTCTAGCTGAAAAACGACACGCTTGGCGATAATTTTCAGCCTATAAGAAGCCAAGTCAATTTCTCTTATTTATCATGCAAAATTTTTTATTGCAGTTGTTGCTTTGCGATGAGCTTTGAGGCCACCCACTATGCTCTTCAACCACTAGAATCAAATCTTTGAGGAGACAAAAAAATTCTTGAAAGCCTCAGTAACACCTGAGATGCACAGTTGCATTCAGTAGTAATCATTTTCAAAGTGAACAGCTGGATGTTTGTCCAGCCCTGCTTGGAAAGAAAACAGGTTCAGCACATGGATGGAATTTGCTTTAATATCAGATGTTGGGAATACGCAGCAGGATATGGATACTTCATACTAATACTCAGAAGCCGAATGTCCTGTGCTTTTTTGTAGCTTCTGGTATTTCTGTGAAGATGATACAATTTGCCTACCTTTCTTTCATGGAATAAGTGTAGTAACATACTACTTTATTTGCTAGATTTTTGGTTTACATGTAAAAAGAAATATTTGTCTATAGAACTACCGGTAGTGTAAGTGTGTATGATTCCCATGGACCCACAATTCATTTAATTACTTTAGTTTTTGATGGGATTATCACACAGAAATAAACTAGACAAGTTTATTCCAACTGTGCTGAAAGACTAAATAGGAGAAATGCTTAATATTACACAGAAGGTTCTTTTTTATTCAAATCACAGCAACGTAACATTTTTAACTTATATTGCATTTTATTGTCGCTATAAATTCATGTGTAATTGGAAGGTAGATCATTCATGAAATCTCCTTTTACTGTACTGTGTTTTATATCTTTAGTCCACAAATGTCGAATCTAGTTTTACAAGTAGTCCTTGACTTAACAACCACAATTGAGCCCAAAATTGATGTTGCTAAGTGAGAAATTTGTTAAGTGAGCTTTGCCCGATTTTACGACTTTTCTTGCCACATTTGTTAAGTGAACCATTGCAGTTGATAAGTTAGTAACCCAGTTGTCAAGTGAATCTGGCTTCCCCATTGACTTTGTTTGCCAGAAGGTTGCAAAAGGGGATCACATGACCCCGGGACACTGCAACAGTCATAAATATGAATCAGGTGATAAGCATCTGAATGTAAATGACATGACCGTGGCGATGTGACAATGGTCACAAGTGTGAAAAATGGTCATACGTCATTTTTTCCAGTGCTGTTGCAACTTTGAACACTTGCTAAATGAACTGTTGTAAGTTCAAGGACTATCTGTATAGAGCAGGGGTCAGCAACCTGCGGCTCTGGAGCTGTATGTGGCTCTTTCACCCCTCTGCTGTGGCTCCCTGTCACTCAAAATATGTGTCACACCCGCAGGCAGGCAATTTATTGAGCTTTTCAACCCCTGGCAGGCCAACCATGGATAAATCCAAGAAAAAAAAAACTTTCAAAAGAAAACAGAACATTTAATTCAACTACATATGCTAGTTTTGTGGCCGCTCAAGAAATAGTCAGGCACAGGAATGGTTTTGTGGCTCTCAGTGTTTTCTTTTCTGTGGGAAACTGGTCCAAATGGTTCTTTGAGTGTTTAAGGTTGCAGACCCCTGGTATAGAGGGTCTGTTTGTAAGGATAATAAGCTTTGTAGCTACCCTTTCGGTCTTTTGGATGCTTTACAAAAATATATTGGATGAGCCTCATCATTTCAACAGATCGCAGAGGTGTTCCCTTGTGACTTACAACCTATAAGTGTGCTAGGAATTGTATTTTGTCTTTAAAAGATGTACTTTGCCCTTTCTCCTTGCAGTCAACCTGGTGGATGAAATAGTGGATGTGTGTATGATTATAGGCATGCTTTCTCCAAAGATCAACATTTGTACACACTTTGGTCACCTTTTATACATAGTGCTATTGACATTAACCAGAAAAGCCACTCTGACAGCACCATACTTTAGCACCGCCTAAAGAGTTGCTGCATTTGCAGAGTTTCTTTAAAGCAATGTCTGGGGGCGGGGGGGGGGGGGGGGGGGGAATCACAAGCCTAATTGTTTTCCATCAAGAGGAATTGTCTTTGAAGTAAACTATCCTGAAAAATAAGGACATTTTCTTGAAGGCTGAACGTGGCGCTGGAATTCTGAAAGGAGAACATAATGAACAATTCTCTTTGTTTTTAAAACAATATAGATTCTTGCTGCAGGATATGTACTCAGGTGAACATGTGCATGTTCTTTTGCTGGTCAGTCATTGTCCTTAAACCTAAAGAAGCAAAATGTGGTTGAGGTTAAAAGATGCAGTCTTAAACTTGATTATCCTAAGACAACCAGACAATCTGTTTAGATTCAGCAGCCCCAGAGAATTTAACTACTCCCGTCATAAATATCTTGTCTATAGAATCTGTAGAACAGGGGTCTCTAATCATGGCAACTTTAAGACTTCTGGACTTCAATTTCCAGAATTCCCCAGGCAGCATGGCTGGTGGGAAATTCTCAGAATTGAAGTCTACAAGTCTTAAAGTTGCCAAGTTTGGAATCTCCTGTTGTAGAAAGTCCATCATTCTTCTATTTCCTGTGATTTTATCTTCTTACCTTGCCCACCAACTAGTACTTTTGACCACAGGCTCAGTGGACTTCAGTCTGAAAAACCTACAGCACTTTTTCTAATAATGCAGAGAATTTACTGGTTCAAGTTGTGAAAGATCACTGGAATTGTCCCCTTAGTCTGTTCCATAGTTCAAAGAAGCATATTTATTTAAAAGATTTGTGTGTCTATTTGTCTTATACCATAAATATAGGAAGCTCACAACAACAATAAAATCACAAAAAGTAAAAAAAAAAAAAAAAGATCAATGAAAAACAAAGACAAAAACCCTAGTGCCATAGCAATTTTCTTGGGATACCCTCAACACCACCTTCACACTTCTATGTTAGTCTCCCCCAGCACCTCAGGAAGATCCATCTCTTTATTGCCTTATGAGCCATGGTGGCGCAGTAGTTAGAGTGCAGTACTGCAGGCTACTTCTGCTGCCTGCCGGCTGCCTGCAATTTCAAACCTCACCAGGGTCAAGGTTGACTCAGCCTTCGATCCTTACAAGGTCAGTAAAATGAGGACTCAGATTGTTGGGGGCAATATGCTGACTTTGTAAACCACTTAGAGAGGGCTGTAAAGCACTGTAAAGCAGTATATGAGTCTACGTGCTATTGCTTCTGGAGGGGTAAACAGTTGGGGATCTGTGAAATTGTCAGGGGAAGAGTATGCTTCAGGAGAAAGATGAAAATAGAAAGAGAAAACATACCTCTATTCTATGTAAATAATATTTACATTATTTACATTATTCTTTCATTGTGTTTAAGTGCATATTTACAATATGGGTATTCCAATTAGTTTAAACCTTCATTGTGTGGCAGAATTCCTGGTGATATTTCCTGTTACACTTGGTTTAGCACACTGTGTGAGCCCACTGCATTTTTTTGCTTTGGTTAGTTTATGATTTAGGATATTATGAGAACCCAAAATGGATTAATTCACTTAACTATTTCAACAGGAATTTCAACAATAATAAGCTGAAGTTTCATCTTGAAGTTTGGTTAATTAAGTAATGCTAGCTTATGTAATATCAGTGTTACAAATGTGAGTTCTGAATAAGTTCTCTTCTACTTCTGACACATCCACTCACAATCAATGTATGACCTTTGCTCCAGTAAGTGCCAATATCGTTATTTTGCTCACAAAATAATTAAGAAAAGTCAGCATGGATGCTTAACCCGGACATATTTTGAAATGCCTGAAATTACACACATACATACACACACACACACAGAGTATATATATATATATACACACAAAATTCACTATGTTCCCTTGAAGAGAGTAGATATTTAATGACTGTGGGATTACCCATTACAATTTCTTGTTCATTTGCTAATTGTGAGTACCTGAATTTATCTTTGCTTTTTAGTTAGAAGAATTACGGAATGCATTGGATAAGACCAGGCAAGAACTGGATGCCACTAAAGCTCGCCTTGCCTCAACACAGCAGTCTCTGGGTGAGAAAGAAGCACATCTGGCCAATTTAAGACTAGAACGGAGAAAACAGTTGGAGGAGATCCTGGAAATGAAGTAAGTGCATTTATGTCTCTTGATTTTTCATTCCTGCTTGCAACATTTTCAGCTCTTTATTTCATAGACAGAAGATTTCTTTACCAAAATGAAAATGAATTAAGCTAAATGACAGTAAGTAAGTAATAATATTGAGCTAAAGAAGTTGGAGTAGAATATTTTGTTATTTACAGATGGCAGTAGCAGGAAACACTTCTTCAAGATTAGATTGATATGCAGGTATAAGCAGACTTAAAGTAAGCAAGCCACCAAGAAGTTTTTATGCACAATGGGGTACAATAAATAAACTAGGTTCATTTTGGTAAATATATTATTTAATTAAAGGAAGCCATGCATTCACTGAGACACACTGATTCGTAGGTAAAATTCTATGCCATAATATAATATTATTTACTTGTCACAATTTATCTGAAGTTACAAAGGATGGAAAATCACTATTTATATTTCCAATAAAGTTTTTTTCCTTGTTGAATACCCACCCATATACCTTCCCACACAAGCATTCACTTATTGATATAAATATAGATATAAATATATAATTATAAGAATATAACGAAATAATATATATATATATATATATATATATATATATATTTATTTATTTATTTATTTATTTATTTATTTATTTTTAATTCATAGGTATAAATGTGCGATATTTTTGCAATCAGGGTTTTTTTTTTCCTATGTTGAAAGATGTTAAAATGGCCATGGTGGGGGATGAAATCTCTATTCATCTGACAGGCCTGAAAGCGATGAATAGAGATTTCATCCCACCATGGCCATTTTAACATCTTTCAACATAGAAAAAAAAAAACCTGATTGCAAAAATATCGCATATATATATATATATATATATATATATATATATATATATATATATATATATATATACACATATATATGTATATATATATATATGTATATATATATATATATATATATATATATATATTATATATATATATATATATATATATATATATAGACTATGTTAGTGATCTTCTCTTGAACTTCAGTCCCCCACGTAAATGAGCTTGCTTCCTTACTGCCATCAACTTGTTCTCACGTAAGTGGAAATAAATGGTTCTGTGAAGTCGATACATTACTATTAACTTGAGTAATAGTAATAAATAAAGTTGAAAGCTATAGAAATAAATAAATAAATAAATAAATGACATTTTTCATTTATTGATCCAATGAAAATCTAGGTATGAGTAATGCATCAAACCTATTTGATAATCATGCTATTTAAATTTATTTTTGCCCAATAAGGAAGGTTTAGTTACTTCTTGTAGTCATGTTGGGTTACATGATGAATACTATCAAATTCTTGATAGTAGGCTCAAGGGAGAGGCAACTCTCAAACAATACTATTCCAAACCAGTGATGATGGTAGTTTTGATGTTCCCTATTCTCTGAAAAAGATGCATTCTGCCATTACGTACATAATATTTTTTTGGGGGGGGAGATTATTTTTTCTTTTTTTTTTTCATGCTTGAAAGAACTCAGTACATTCAAATAGTTATTACATTTCTCCTTATGTGATTGTATCATTAGATAGTGCTTTATATCAATGCTCCAAAATAGCCTATCACACTATGAAGTCTAAATTCTAAAATACATGGGGTTTATCAAAAAGGTTTATTCCTTCCTTCCTTCCTTCCTTCCTTCCTTCCTTCCTTCCTTCCTTCGCCAACCACAAACTTATGCTTGGAAGAATATCATGTTCCTAAGGAAAAAAACTATGTCACATATCAGCTATGTAGTACAGTGTTGCCCTAGTTGAATTAAGAAGCAAAAACAATTTAAAAGAATTTCCGAAAATTTCCAGATAACTTATAGAACCCTTGAATACTCTCATTTCCATGGATTACCAAATGCACCATGTCATAATTAGTTAGCTTTGATCAGAGTTACATAATATTGAGAGGGACATATATTAGATAAAAGTAAAGTAAAGGTACCATCTCCTTCAAGCTCCTGGTGATATCATGAATATATGTGTGTAGCATTATTTTGGTAACAATATGGAAATGATTTTCCACTTCCACCTTTTGGAATTATTATTTTTTTACTTCCTCTCTATTCTACAGTCCTTATATTGCCTTGAAATCTCCCATCCAAATAATTACCTGTCCTGATTTGGCTTACTTCTGAGCCCAGCAAGATGGGGCAAGTGTTATCACCTGCTGGTGTCCATATGTAAGAGATGGAATTTTTATAATTTCTGTCAAATTTACCTGTCACATTTTGAATATATACATATGTGAGCATAGGCACATGAGAAAGGATTGTGACTATTGTATAGATGTGTGTGTATGCATGTATGAATAATAGATTACTGGCTAAATCCATTTTATATCTACATTTTATAAACTATTTCAACACCAGTACTCCAAAAATTGTTTCTCTTTCTTTTATTGGTATACTTTTATGTAGGTTATATAATCTTCAGTAAATAGGCAGTGTTATTTATGTTCTCCACAAAACCTACCTTTGAAAAGTGGAAGACTTGGTTGATTTTTTACAACCCATGGTGTGCTTTCATTTAACGATGGGATCCATGCTGAGAGCATAGAGAGTTATATCCCAAATTAAATGCAAACAAAACAGCAGGATGTTGATACAACTGTGATTTCCATGGGAAGTAGTTAGGACGTTAATGTGCCCTTCTTGGAACTTGGGTAGAAATTCTCCGGTGACTCCGATTTCTGCTCCATAGATCTGAAAGACAACACATCTTGACTAGCTTTTTTTGACACCAAGTTGCTAGCACCATAAAGATTAGAAGAATCAAAGGCTTTGTTCTTCACTAAAATGAAGAGGTTTTATTTAAAAAGGAAGAAAGAAGAGAGACAGAAAAAGAAACAAAGGCCAATAAACTTATCTGTCAATAGTTTATTTAATTTACAGCAGTGTTGTCATTTGTTTAAATGTATATGTTATGATTAATGTCAAGCAATATTTCGCTAGAAATTTTGTGTCTGCTTATCAAACTGAAATAGTTCAATCTATTCTTAATACATTCAGTTTAGCATATGAAACTTTGTTTAAATTATCACAGGCATAAAGCTAAAAAGTACAGCAGGTGAACTAATATGCAGGCGTATGCTTTGCGTTATGTTTTCAATTTAGAGCTTAACTGAGGAGTAACTATAAAAGGTAAGATAACTGGCCAAGCTAAGTCTGTAACATTCACATTTGGTAAATCAAAGCAACCACACACCCTTCCTCATATTGCTGTCTGCTGTAGATACAATTCTGATGCAAAACAAGTGGATTCCAGAATCTTAAATCTATTTAAGTTTTACGTTTCTCTGAACCTAGTGCTGCAGCTATTGGCTTAAACTAACCCCAAAACAAATAGATATTTTAGCATACTCTATGCTTGTAAATTCAGACTTTGCCCAAAAAACGTTAAGAATGTTACACTTCATGAAAAAATGCATTAAATATTATTTCATGGGGTTTTTTTTTAAATAGCTGAGAGCATGACAGCACAGTTATGCTCACGGAATGAGCACTGCAAAGGTGAAACTGATGTAGATTGGAAAGAATGTTTTTTATCCACCTCTGGGGATATTTTCTCTAAGAAAGTAGGACTTCCTCTCTCCCTTGGGCAGAACTGCTCAGTAGAGCATGATGGGCATATCCAGTAAATCACTGGCAGTTTTGAATAAGAATACCATGCTTGAGGTGCATACTTGTGGAGAAACACATGATGGCATCAAAGGGTTAAAGTGTTCTCTATCTCCTAGCTACTATGCCATCACCAGAGTTTTACAACCAGATATGGAGTGGCTAATTTTGCATATTATTATGGTTCATTGCACTATCAGCCAAATATTCAGAGTAGATTTGGCATTTTTATCCACCTATTGAGTCCTCCCCAAGGACCTGGAATAAGCAGATGTGGATGTTTGTTGGAGTTAAAGGTATCGCCACAGGATATAATCTGTGAGTCATATTATTATTAGAAGAAGAGACTGAAACTTTTTCTCACCAGTTTCTTGTGGGCTTCTAGAGATGTCAGGGACAGGAGCTGTGGTGGTGCAATGGTTAGAATGCAATATTGCAGGCTAATTCAGCTCACTGCCAGGGGTTCGATTCTGACCAGCTCAAAGTTGACTTAGCCTTCCATCCTTGTGAGGTTGATAAAATGAGGAGCCAGATTGTTGGGGGCAATATGCTGACTCTGTAAACCGCTTACAGAGTGCTATAAAGTACTATGAAGCAGTATATAAGTCTAAGTGCTACTGCTATTGCTATTTCTAAACAGTTCTACACACATACTTTAAATATACAGGCAAATCCAAATTTTGGCTTCAAATTCAAGATGACTCCAAAACATCTTATATAGATTAGTGACTAAGGCGTTAAACTAAGAGTGGACAGACCCAGGTTCTGATTCAATGGAAGTTAGAATCATGGAAATTCAATGGGGGATTTTGGCCCAGTCCCTTTTAGCTCAGCCTACCTCATAGTATTGTTGCTGTGAGGCAAAATTGGAGAAGAGATTGTTATGTGTGCCAATCTGGCTCCTCAATGGCAGAGTATAAATTAGTTGTCCATATATATTTAAATACACACACACACACACACACACACACAAAGAAAAAGAAATAATGAAATAAATTATAAATTTATATCTTTTTTCCAGTGGTGGGATTCAAATAATTTAACAACCGGTTCTCTGCCTTAATGATTTCTTCCAACAACTAGTTCACCAAACTGCTCAGAAAGTTAACAACCGGTTCTCCCGAAGTGGTGCGAACTGGCTGAATCCCACCACTGCTTTTTTCTTTCTTTCTGTGTATTTATGGGAGTGTCTGTGAGTACAAATATAAGCAGTAGATGTAGAATAACTTATTTCCATAGATCATTCTCTCTCTCTTTCTCTCTTCCTCCCTCCCTCCTCCCTCCCCCCCTCTCACACAGACATATACACACAGACAGCCTCTATATATTATACATTTTTCTAAAACTGATCTCAGCCAAAC